TATGCATCAAATTCAACCATGTCTGTAATTCCTAGTAGCACTAGAGTATGTACCATATTGCAATATACTGAAAGCTTTTCTCACTTCCACTGTTTCTATAATAAATATAAAGAAAAATTGATTGAAATATAAAATATCATTGAACGATAATTATTAAAACTACTAAATGTATATATTTCTAAATTATGAAAAATATTATAACGTAATTTAATAAAAATAAGGAAAATTAATATATATTATTTTAATTCATCTAATTAAAAAGAAAATCTAAAAATTAGTACTTTTTTTTTCAAATTCAGCATTCTATCCATAACGGCAATAAGCTGTAGTCCTGAAATTGTTTAGAAGGTAAATAAAGGATTGGTCCAGCAACCATCCTTCACTTTGAGCACGTTGCGTTTATAACATCCATAAGTATATAACGTGCACAGTTTACACAGTTGTTAGAAACGGTTTGGCAAATCTTGTGGCTTCAGTTTCCGTCAATGGATAATTGTGTTGATCAACCCTGCTGCTAAGTGGTTTGGGTGAACAACTTTCAGTCACTGATGGTAGTTTGTGATGGCTTTTCTGACCTCTTCTTTTAGCAACTTTGTTATCTCCTGTAGCAGATTTGAAGAATGTACTGGGTCAGCATCAGATGCACGATTGTGTCATAAAAGATCCGTATTTTTTTCTTTTATGTAGTCAAAACTCTATACATGTTTATTATTTTTTGTATATATTTAGGTCTTCGATTAGTCCGGTTTTAAACAGTACGGAATTACCCGGACTATACGAGGTATTTTTGTATTTTAATACATTAAAGTAAAATTGGTTAGATGTAGGATTTGCATTCAAGAAAGTTAATATGTTAAAAATTCAATAAAGTTATTGATTTAAAACAATAAATAATTAAAAAAATAACAGAAATATTCTCATTTATTTTTGTAATAACATTTATGCTATATAAAGGGCTATTGTCCACAAGCTTTTCACCATTTTATAATATTTATAAAGGAGAAACCTTTAATAATCTTGAATTTTAAATGATATCGTCCTACTCGTGCGTTGTAGTTCACAAGAAAAGTTAATTTAGAAATCCGTTAAATTCTTAATTTTAATGTTGAATTATTAACGAATTGCGAAAGGAACGAAGGACTAAACATCTCGGAAATATGAGTGTATTGTTCGCGACTTGGAGTATAATTTATTTGGGACCGTATTCCCTGTCACATTAAAATTAATTGACTTTCCATTGTGATTTCCTGGAGCGAATTAAATGAGGCTGACATGGGTTAGTAGCAGTCAATGGAATTCGGGAAACGCTCTTTTCGATCTACAAATATGTGCGGACCAGCAAATATTTGCATATTTAAATGATGAAAAAGGTACTTTAACTAAAAACACTTTGCTTAAAAAGACACAAGTTCAAGTTTAAATATCTTGTATTTATATATAAGAATTACAGTTATATAGGGTATGGAGACTGCTATGGGCTTTCGCCTCTTTCAGACTTCTGATATTAATTTTTTACAAAAAAACGGTAGGGGAGATAAAAAGACACAAGAAACAGTGGACAAGGTAATAAATGCAACCGACGTTATTTCCTAAGTCAAAAATATAATGGTATTATTGCTATTCTTTCAAAACGAGAAATAAAATAAAGGTTTCATTAATTTAATATGTTAATAAATAATATTATTGTTTCAACAATATTTCAGTTCTATTAGTCAATAAACCTGATACCAAATCAAAATCCTCTAAACTGATTATTTCTAGTTGAGTTCATAAATAGTTCTAATTTTATATTTCAATAGAATGATTGTATTTTATGAAGATTTTCATTTCTTACAATATTTTCATATTTAGAACTTTCAAACCGCAGAAAAAAGACACTTAAAGTAAAAAAAAATGATGATTTGTGTATAAAAATATTCATTTTGTCAATTAAAATTTAGATTGTTTTGAAATTTTCAAATAGTAAATCCGGACTGATCGAAGCCTCTTTATGCGCCATCTATTATAGACTCTAGAACTAAATTTATTTATATTTTAATTGTTTTTACATGTATTATTAAATGTATTCATATTTCACTTTTTAGATATGACAAATATTACAGATTGTCATGTAAAGTTTTATTGTATATATAATGTATTCTGGCGTGGATAAGGATGCGTGACACATGAAAAAAACTACGAATCCAACGTTTCTAACAATTTAAATTTTCAAGGAATACTTCGTTTATAATCAAACTTGTGCTGTGCCTGCCATTACCTCAATTTGCTAAACATAGGTGAATGAATGTCTGCTGAAACTCCATTAAACACTTCCCTATAACCAACACATATGTTATCCTATTTGATACAAGCTAAAGTTTTAATCAGCTTACGCGAATCCGTCTGGAAATTGCATTTCACATGAATATTTTCAAAACAAAACTTCGTTAATTATTTAATTCATCGACAATTTAAATAAACACCTCAATTCATCCTGCAACTTTGTATGTAGTTAAAATGAACTCATTTTTGTTTTGTAGAACGAACGCATAATTTATTAAAAAGTTTCATCTCGGAGAACGCTTTTCGAGTTCACTATGTAAATTTGTTAATTCCGAGAATTTGTTATTATACTTTTCTGCTCTTTACAACTTTCAATTATATTAAATGCAAAAGTATTTAATATTTTCTGCGAAAATTCTTTCATGTCCTTTGAGAATTTTTATTTAATCTTTCCTCCGTAATAAAATATATTTATTATAGATAATAATGAACGTAATTAAATATATTTTCAGTTAATTTCCAAAAAAAAAATATTTTGATTTTTAGTAACATCTCAATTATTCATGTAATCAATTGATTATTTAAAATGAGAATTGAAAAGTTCAAAGTGTTTAATTTAAATTCCATTTAATGTGTGAAAATAAATAATTAATAATGAATTTTTTTTACAATTTTAACGACAATTACATATTATATTCGAAGTTTGTCGACTCTTTTCATTATATAACATTTTCATCATATGAACAAAGGAAACCTTTGTACGAATTTAATTAATTAATTTTACAATTGACACAATATTACCACTCATTAATTAAATTCACAATTATATATGTTTTTGTAGCGATTGCATAAAATTTATTATTTCGCATGAATTATTTAGTCAAAAAATAATAGCAATGGCAGAGAGTCGATGTTAAAAATGGAAATTGTTTTAGTCTTGTTTACATGATCCAGGTATAATTAATTATTTTTGTTGCACAGTAATCACCAAAATACCGTACTTGCTTATATGTTTTAACGAGGTTGACGTGAAAGTAATCTCTTGTAAGCTTGTACGTATATTAATTATAAACCTTAGAGTTTATAAGAAATCAATCCTCAAAGCATTATAATATGTAACATAACATATCAAAGACTGTTATTGCTTTATGCATGTATATTGCGCAATTATTTGCATAGCTGTAGGCTATTTGCAGAAATGGATGCATGGATTAAAGGATTTAAAAATTCTATGTACTTTAATTGCAATTATCTTGGAAACTTTAGCTTGAAACTTTCCCCTTTATACAAGAGATCAAAGGACCAAGGAAATATTTCATTTATAATCTTGTTTATGGTGCTTGTACATGTCACATATCAAATAAAGAAGCAAATTCACAATTTATTGCATTTATCTCTAATTATCTGATTTTTTAAACATTGGGTTGTTCCATAGATAATCATATGTTTAAAATTTAATACAGGAATCACATAGTACGGATAATCAGATCTACCAATACTGTTTGAAACTGAAGTAATTAATGATTTTTAAACAATCAAACGATAAAATACGACCATTTATAGTTATATAAAATTTTTATTTTGCTCAATTAAAATTTAGTTTTTTCTTTATTTTTTCGAACCGTACTATAACGAATCCACTCTGATGGCGAGGTTTTTAGGATCTTTTATGTATAAATAAAAATATTAAAATTGTTCTCTTTATTTAAATTATATATCAAAAATATTTAAAAAAAATTAAATTAATTAGTAGACCAGATGGATGATGTTTTTAATATGTTACAGTAGTATTATTTTGTATATATTTTGTTGATTTTTAAATTTTTCAATTTAAAAAAAAAGAATATTAATTTTGATACGTATAGTTTCTACAGTATTTGCTCGATGTATTTGTAGTAATTCTGTTAAATTATAAAATTAAAAGTTTATTCAATTCAATAAAAAATAAGTTGTTTCCTACAGTCGTCTTTTAATGTAAGTTATTCAATACAAATACTAAATAAATACAAAAATAAAAATTGTGTCTAAATTGCAAATAATAAGAAGTATTTTAATTGGCTTTTTTGATTTTAAAAATATGATTTGTAAATAAAATGAATGAATAAAAATATATAAAAATCGTTTGGTTCATGTGTAAATGTTTGTGGTGTAGGAAGGACTTTACCGAGGGCATAAAGGAAAATAGTGGTAGACATTAGTAGCTGGAATGGAGATCAAAAGTTCATTTGTGGAACGTATTTCGCCTGTTCAAATATTGCCAGTCGCCTAATAACTTCTTTTCCCTTGGAACGCCGAGTATAATTTCCGTTTATTTAGTGGATTAGGCAAAGGTCGTACGTAATGTAAGCTCCCGTTTGTTTGCCACGTCGACATTAACAGCGGTCCCATAAGTCGGACGGTGTTTGTCGTCTTCTTGCTCTTGTTCTTGCTAAAAGTAAGTGAAACGTCTGGTCGTAAGTCTGCAATAAATTGCACCGAAGCCGGAGAATCCAATGGTCAAACAAGTAATGACTCCAAGTGCTCTGTAAACTGTTCCTGGTAACACTGCAAATCCGCTTTTCTAAAACCGTACCAACCAACAACCTTGCACTTAATAAATATTTGTCCGGATCGGACGCTCTGAATAACACAAATATGATTTATGGAAACACACTCAACCCAAATGACGTTTCCATTATTTCCACTCTTTGATCATCAATTTCAATGCAATTTACTAAACCCAGTTCTTTTAATTACAGATTATTCATTCCCCCAACTGTACAAGCCAAGGACTACCCAATTCTTCAGCTTCAAGGACATCTCCATTCGCAAAACCTATCAGGATTTAAGTTAATCCCCCAAATAAAAGTATTCACGTACTTCTAATTACCTTTTAATCTCTGTGTCACGATTAGTATTATTATTATTGTTTTATTCACATGGAAGAACAAATATTTTTATATGTGTGCTAATTTCATGTCAACGGCTTTCTCTGTATATAAATGTAACGGATAGAAGAATTTCAAATAAACACATTTTATGTATATAAGGGATTTTATCTGTGTAGACAATATATCTTATGCTGCTTAAACGATGATCGATGTATAAAATATGTAAACCTAAATGAAATGTATTGATGTAACCTAAGTGTAAATAGCGTCAAAATATTTGTGATAGTATTTAAATGTGCTTCTAGCGTTGAGAGATTACATAATTACGGGACGGACAGTGTTCGACGGGCCCCTAAAATAAAGTCGTATATCTGCTCGTTCCGTTTTTATATGCAAGAAAATGTACCACCTACGAAAATAACTACATAGTCTTTAGGATACGAAAACAACAAACAAATGTATGCTTCCTGTTTATAATTGTAATTTACGTTATATAATAAAGATTAGTGCGGGGAAATTAAACTTTTTATTTACATCTTCCACAATACAATAGATTTTTATTGGTCAGAAAAAGCGAAAATCTTAATTACCTTCATAATACATAGTCAATCCAGCTTTTTTAGGAAATTGGCTTAGATTCAAGCACTTCAAAATAATATAAGGTAGGTATTTAAATGAATGTCACAATATCTTTTTAAATTAATTGTGTATAGTTAGATTATATTACATGCATATAGCAACAACTTATTTTCTATATATTTTTTCAGTTAAAATTACATTTTTTAACTTTATAGAAAGGTATACAAAAATGGCACACAAAATCTTTATATTTATTTATTATTATTTTCAGTTGAAGGATTCAATTTTGTCACATTGATTTACAACAATTTTAAGTACAACAATATACCTTGCATAGTCCGGATAATCGCGGACTGTTTGAAACCAAACTAACTTAGGAAGTAAATACTTTACTTAACAGTAATGAGTGAAGAACCGAACATTTATATAATATAATACTCATTTATTTTTATTTGACTGAATTCAAATTTACAATTGTTTTGACATTTTCAATCCGGACTATATAATCCATAATTACTTAAAAGAAGAGAAACAATAATTATCTTTTTTTTTAATAATTTAACAAGAATAAATAATATTTTTGCAGTGTACATAAAAGTTTATAAGTGCAGAACTCATAACTGTTGTTTTCTCTTTTCTCTTGCAATCAAACAGATGAAACTATATACGTTTTGGAGTGCTTGTTTGTTGTCGATGGTCGAGCATCTATACTTACTGAATGTATGAGTTTCAGTTTAAAATAGGAATATCCATCTATCTCAAGTTCAAGAAACTTTCATTACATGGTCAAACATTCCCGTCTGAAATCTAATACGAAAAAGAAAAAAAACGTTATTTTTATATTTGTTGATTTAAAGTAAAAAAAACAACAGAAATTGATTAAAAGCAGCATTTTCTTCAATAACAAAGTGAATACTTTCTACTAAAATATAATAAAATGAAAAATGTTTAAATGTTATAAAGGATAATTGACCATAGGTCTTTCCGCCCAGATTAGTATTATTGTTGTGTTCAACTATTAGATTAAAACATCTAATTCATATATTAAACACGGAACCACGGAACCAAGACAGAAAGCGAAGCTTCTTATCAAAACCATAGAATGTAAAATGTTGTTCCCCTTGTTTCATAGTTAGTTTTATAGATAGATTAGCTATTTTCTGATTAATTTTGGTCATATCGTTAAGTGAATAACAACCACATAGTCATAGGAAATATAAAGGAAATACTAGAACCTAGTTTAACACATGATTAAGAATAAAACGCATAAAACAAGTAAAACCCATTGGATTGATTTGTTTACAAACCCTAATACTTCACATCAGACAACAGCAGACAACATTCCACAGTGACTCGATTTTCCAATGGACACGAGATTATTTTAATATTAAATATTGGATCAAATATAATATATACTTTAATAAATATAAAACAAATAATAATTTACAAAAAAAAAGTACTTAATCAAAATAGTTGTTAATAAATAAAGACTAATTGACTTTTATTGCAGATGGAAAATATGGAAGAAAAGTTCCTGCAGATGAACGAATTCCACTTTAGAATACCGACTTTTCAATTTAAGGGGCGAACTTCTAATGTAAGAGAAGAATAATGAAATTTCATTTTTATGAAGTCACGCTATTATTGGCGAAAAAATGATTAAAAATCCACGCCGTAAATGCGACTTAGAGTTAATGGTACATTCAATATTCAATTTCGAATATTCGCGACACAGAGAAATGTCTTGATTAATACTTTATTTTTCATAAACCACAATTTATATAATTTAATTAAAATATAAAATTCATTTAATTTGTGACATATTTTTATATATTTATCAAAACTTACTCGTTTTATATGAAAACAAATCAAATATTGAATAAGATGCAGTGGTGTTGCTGCAGCGTAACACTCTTTTAAAAAATAATTGAATTCATTATATTTTAAAAATTTTAATGCACACCGGTTGAAAATCACTGTTCTAAAGTAACAAATTCGCTGCTGCAGCTAATTCTTCGTGCGAATTCGAGTTTCCGTCACCATATAAGGCGATCTTATCGAGTGTGCAAAA